CCTGTAATCCCAGCACTTTGGGAGGCTGAGGCAGATGGAGCACTAGAGTTTAGGAGGTCAAGACCAGCCTGGCATCTGATGGCTTTATTGACAAGAGAGAGAGAAAAAAAAAAAAAAAAAAAAAAAACAAATACCAAAAGGTTACAGCCCGTATGATACCATTTATATTACATTCTTGAAATGACAAAATTATACAAACGTAAAATATATTAGTAGCTATCAGGGGTTAAGGTGGGAAAGAAGATAACATCACTGATCACTAGAGAACTGCAAGTCAAAACCACAATGAGATACTATCTCACACCAGTCAGAATGGCTATTAATAAAAAGTCAAAAGATAACAGATACTGGTGAGGTTGTGGAGAAAAAGTGCTTATACACTGCTGGTGGGAGTGTAAATTAGTTCAGCCATTGTAGAAAGCAGTGTGGTAATTCATCAAAGAGCTAAAAACAGAACTACCATTTGACCTAGCAATCCCATTACTGAGTATATACCCAAAGGAATACAAGTTGTTCTGTCATAAAGACACATGCATGTATTTGTTCACTGCAGCACTATTCACAATAGCAAAGACATGGAATCAACCTAAATGCCCATCAATGATAGACTGGATAAAGAAAATATGGTACATATACACCACGGAATATTATGCAGTCATAAAAAAGAATGAGATCATGTCTTTAGCAGGAGCATAGATGGAGATGGAGGCCATTATCCTTAGCAGACTAACACAGGAACAGAAAACCAAATACCACATGCTCTAGCTTATAAGTGGGAGCCAAATGATGGAAACACATGGACACATAGAGGGGAACAAAAGACAGTGGAGCCTAACTGAGGATGAAGGGTAGGACAGGGGAAGAGGATCAGGAAAAATAACTAAAGAGTACTTGGCTTAATACCTGGGTGACTAAATAGTCTATACAACAAACCCCTGTGACGTTGAGTTTACCTATATAACAAACCTGTACATGTGCCCCTAAAATTAAAAGTGTTTAAAAAATAGGAAAATAAAATACAGAAAATGTGAAGCAAGAAATTATCCCAAAATTTTCTTTTAATTTCTCCAAATTTGAAGCATATAAATGTCCAGACTGAATGTGCAAAATGAGCACTCAACATAAAGAATAAAAAAAAAAATGCCCCAAGATGCTTCATTGTGATCATCAAAACATGGGAATTAAGAGCTTCCTTCCAAACAGAAAAAATACACTAAAACATTTGTGAGTCTTGCATAATAGCAAGACTAGAAACAAGATAATAAGATAACAATTTCCTCAAAAACCTAAGGGAAACTGACTTTCAGTCTCGTATGTACTGAATAAGGAATAAAAAAGGAAGAAAAACACATGAGATCCAGGAAACAGAGAACCTGATACTGGAGAGAAGCGAAGGAGATCACAAGGTGAAGCAAGGCACAGTTCAGGATGGCAGCCATGCAGCAGACCTAGTAAGACTCTAGACTGGAAGGTGCCAGGTGGCCTGTTTCCAAGGGAAAAAAAAGGGAACTGACAGATGACCTAACTTGTTTGCCTGATATAAGAACTGTAAAATAAGTTCCATTGGAAAGACTGTAAGACATAATGAGTGACAGCAATCATGGGAATTTAAAACTCTCATAATCCAGCCCTACTGCTACACACACATTTCTCTTCCCCCTAGCCTCCCTATATTACAACTTTTAGCACTATATGAATATTCATTCCGAATATAATTTTTTTTTTTAGAGACAAGGTCTCGCTCTGTCACACAAACTGGAATACAGTGGTGCAATCATAGCCCACCGCAGCCTCAAACTCCTAAGCTCAAAGGATTCTCCTGCCCCAACCTCCCAAGTAGCTGAGAGTACAGGAGTGCATGACCACACCTGGCTAATTATACCCTATTTAACTAACTTGGTTTCCTTGGAGTTAATCCTCATTTTTTCATTTGATTATTTAAATTATATTCAAGATCTCAGTGATAAAAATAAAATTTTTATTTAAAAAATAATTAGTGTATGTTTTTAATATTTCTTTCTCATTTTATGCAAATATTTTTAAAATAGACATATAATATACACAAACATACATACTTATAACTTCATTTTTCACTTTTTTCAGTCATTAGATTTAATCATTATCAGAGATTAGTCTTCACAATAATTTCTAGTTACTTCATAACATTTCATTTTAAGAATATATGATCATTTATTTACTCATATTCCTCTGTGTTGGGTATAAGATTTTTTCAAAATTTTGTATATTCTTAATAATGCTCACTTGAGCACCCTTCTATATAAATCTCTGTCTATCTCCAATGACAGGTTCCTAGAAGCAGAACACTTAGTTGTACTACTTAGTTGTCCTCTAAAATCTCCACCAATTTACATTTATACCTACAATGTATTATGATTATTTAACCAAACAATTACCAGGAATAATATGTTTTAAATCTTTCAAAAGTAAAAGTTAAAAGGGAACAAATTCAACATGTACTCATTTTAATTTGAATTTGCCTGTTAGGTTATATTACGTACTTAGGACTTTTGATCATTTTTACATTGGGCAATTACTTGTATTTGTGCTGTTTTTAATTTGGTAAATTTGGCAAATTTCTTCATAGATTAAGGATATTTATCCCTTTATTATATTTGTGATAACTGTTTTTCAGTTTAACTCTTATGTAGTCACACCTTTGTTTTTCCTTCCCTTGCACTTGTATCTAAAAAGTCCTTCCCTCAGCTCAAGGACTGTTAAGTACTGACCTATATTTTCTTCCCTTTCTCTCTCTCCATCTCTCTCTCTCTCATTGAAGGGTGGTATTATGGTTTTATTAGTTATTTTAAGTAATCTCTAAAAGGGATCTTTTAGCAATACTTTTATAAAAGCATAAGGAAGCAGTGAGATGACCTCGGGAATATAAAGGTGGCTTAAAATAAAATAACTTTCTACATATCTTTTAACTACAAATCTTTCAACATGTAAGTTTTCTTCCATAAATATCTGTGCTACGTGGGTCACAACAGAAGCAATATTATACTTTCAGGTATATATGCTCATATAGCTTAATTTTTTTTAAGTTTTTACTCACTTGTGGTCATGATGTTAGGAGGGCAAGAGGGTATTCCATGATCTACTGCCCATCTGTAGGCTCCTTCTCCAACTAAAAAGCTAACAACAGAAAAATTATTTTTAAAATTCAGTGTCATCTTCTCCTACATATTCAATAAATATAGGTAATATGGTAAGGCAATTGAGAAAAAGTTTTGCATATGGACATAATTCCTGATTTACCTCAAAGTAATAAGATGACTGCATGCTAAAAAATTCCTGAAAATTTTTCCCCAAATTAGAAATTTTACAATTGGAATGTTACAATACCATTTGCAACAACTGATTAGTAAAAATTGGCAAAACTCAACATAATAAGATGTAAAAATAGTTGACTTCTCAGTAGAAAATATTAAGATTTATCTTGGACCAACAGGGTTCTCAGTTAATGTCACAAGATTGATTAATCAAATTAACAGTTTACAATTAAGTGAATGCCTTCAGATTTGGCATTATTACCTAGTAGAATACCTGGATCCATCCAAAATTAGTGGGTACATCTAGAGATGCTCAAATATGTATGGTTACATTTCTAAGCCTTGATGCAATAAAAATATATACATAACCCTCAGAATCATTTTTACTGTGGTAAGTAAAGGACTATGGTATGTCCCAAAAGTAACTTTTAAGTCCTAAACAGCAAGTTTTAACATAACAAAGTGGATAAAAGGATACTGATAGCTAAATATAAAAGACTTGTTTTCAAATATTTCAAATAGCATGTAGGATAATTAACTACCCCATTCCCTAAGTAATTTGATTAAGCAAATAGTAATAGCAAGCAGTTACCATAATAATTAATCACTCCATCTTCTTCCATAGCCAACTACTTAAAGATCTCAGCCAGCCAGTAATGGATTCCTTGAACTTGTGCCTACTTGCTAGTTTTCCACTCCCTATTTTTTGTTTCTGTTATTTTAATCATTCCAACACTAAAAACTCGAAGTAATACATATTGAAGTCTTAAGATTTGACTGTTAATAAGACCAGTGACAGACTGGCCAAACAAAATCTAAGTAGACCCTCAAAAACATATCCAAATGGCTCCAATGGGAAACTAAATGGTTAACCACAATAACTGCTTTCTAATATACATAAAGATGGGGATGGAGGGACTATTTTAAATAGAAAGGAGAGAAGGCCAATAACAATAAACAACTTTACCTCTTCAAAATTCAATTTTTAAAAAAAAATTCGAAAGGATTCTAACAATAGAAAACAGTTTTTCCTATTCTTGTAAGAAATGAAATCCACTGCAAAGAAAAGCTGTCACATAAAGTTTAAATGTTAAGATAACTTAAATAGGAGCTTGGATGCAAATTTGAACGGTCCTGATGGCATTTTTAGCATTTCCTTCTTCTAGGAAAAACAAAAACTGATAAAAGAAATAATTCTCTTCATGAGAAGATGTAAAAGAGAAGCTGAAGTAGTAAACTAAATGATCAAGACAAAAGTTTGGAGTTGAACCTAATATTCTCAGCACTCCCATTGGTCATTTTGGGTTCAATTCCAGTATCTGCAATCAGTGAGGGGCATTTTACAAAATATTCTTAGCTTTATTTTACATATTTTTTAATCATTCGAAGGTTTGATTCTAAGTAAAATCAATTTGCTATTGTCAGCTATTTAAGTTTTTAAATACTTTGGGTATTGTGAAATATTCATAGGGAGGCAAATAGTTGGATGTCATCTTATGGATAAGCATACTAAATATCTACCCTTTTTCTTAACATAAAAAATTACTGTATAGTAGATCATCATTGCACAAAATATCATATAATTGCTTTTGAAATCATTTTAGCAGAAGCTTTTACTAAAAACTGTACTGACATGTCAAAAAAAAAAAAAAAATCACATTCCCAAACATTAAATGCAGTACCAATTCAAACTTCTCTCAAGCATTCTTCTGATTCTCCAAGGAGGAAACTTTTAGAAAAGGTTCACGCCAATCTACTTCGAAGTCCCATTGACTCTATCATTATAACACATCTGAAATCTGACCACTTCTCACCACCTCCATTGCTACCACCTTGGTCTGAGCCACCATCATCTGATACCCACAATGCTGCAGTGGCCTCACTATTTTTATGCTTGCCTTGCCCTGTACTCCCTGACCCCAGACAATTCTCAATACACCAGCCACTAAAATCCTTGTAAAATACAATTCAGGTAATGGCACTCCTCTTTCAAAATCCTGTAAAACCCTCTTGTGAGGACCAGTGCAAAAACTAGAGTCTTTTTAAAAATCTATAAGCTCCCATAGAATCTGATTCTCCCCACTCCCCAATTCACCTCTTATTCCTCTTGCCCCCTTGTGTACTCTACTCAATGTCTTGTAAAGCCACAAACATATCAAGGAGGCTCCTGCCTCAGGGTCTTCACCCTGACTGTTTCCTGTGTCTGGCTGTTCCCCTAATTTCCCAAATGGGAAACTCCTTCACATGCTCAAACATCCCTCCTTGATGAGGCCTCCTTAAAAATGCATCCCAATACCCTGCACTTCTCTACCCAGTACTCACAATCCCCTTATCCTGCTCCTTTTCCCTTTTTCCACCTTCTAACGTATTATATAATTGATAAATTTACACATTGTTATCTGTTAGTTTATCTTTGCATAAATTCCTTAAAAGCTTCAAGCTTCATAAGGGTAGAGATCTTCATTTTTTCATCAACATATCTCAAGCATTTAGAACAGTGCCTGAAGCATTCTAAACATTATGTCATGTTCTAACACATACAACTGTATTCCCACAAAATTCATAGTTTGAAACCTCACCCCCAAGTATTGGGATGGCATTAGGAGGTGGGGCCTTTTGGGATGTGATTAGGTCATGAGGGTGAAGCCCTCTTGATTGCCCCAACTCTGAATTCCCCAACTCCTTGATCTTGAACTTTCCGGCCTTCAGAACTGTGAGAAACTTTTAATGTTTATAAGCTACCTAGTTTATGATATTAAGGTGTTTTGTTATAGCAGAAACTCTCTAGAGTTCACTGTCTAAATGTAATATAGTCAAAAAAAATTTTCCCTGAATACCCTAAATCAACATAACCAAATGTATAATGTTTTTACTTCAAGCTTATTTACATGTGATCCAAATATTTCTAGTCATCTCATTTCTATTATAATTTAGATGATGAACTTCCAGGTACATGAGAGATTTTTCACTTCGGGACAAGATGGAGAAAAAAATAAAGACAAAACACAGAAAGTAGCAGTTTTCAGACATTGAGACATTAGGCAACATAGGACAGTGATCCTTGAGAGAGAGGAAACAAAGTAAACCTTGTGATTGTCTTACTGCAATCATAGGGTTCACCTTCATTATTGCCTAGAGAGTTTCTAAACCACAGCACAGGAGCTCCAGCAGTATCTCTGAGTTGACGTGACATCCAGAGAGGGCATCCAGAGAAGCCACATAGCCACAGTTCATAAGACCGAGTACCAGAGAGGAGAGAACTGCATATAGAAAGTACTCTAGAGATCTGCAGAGTATCCCTCTAGTCTTCAGCTAAGTAGAGATCAGTGTATGTGTAAGAAGACATTACCCAAAGTCTTGGAACAAATGAAATGAAAGTTTTAAAAAAAAAAAAAAAAAAACAAGTCTCCAAGTTCAGACAGCCAGGAACAACAGCTCCTGCTCCCACCAGCCAAAGTAAAGGCCTCATTCTAGGTGCATCTGTTATAACACTTTGAAAGATTCCGCCTCAATAGCAAGGCAAAATTAGCTCAAGGCCAAATGCTTCTCATTTCATGTAACAAAGTTTAAAGCGAGACCTGAAAGGCTCAAGCTGTTTTTAAGTAACTTAGCCACATCCTAGAATAAAATGTAAGAATAGTTTTTAAAACACAAAAATACACAGCACCCAAAAAGGTAAAACTCACAATGTCTGAAACCCAATAAAAATTACCAAGCACGCAAAACAGGAGGAAAAGGTAACCTATAATGAGGTGAAAAATCATTCAACTGAAAACAATCCATAAATAACAAAGAGGACAGAATTAGCAAACAAAGATATTTAAATAATTGTTATAACACTATTCATATGTTCACAAAGCTAGAGGAAAGTTTAGGCATGTAAAGTAGATACATGGAAGACATTTTTTTTAAAGATGCAAATCAAACTTGTAGAGATAAAAATAACAACGTCAGAAATAAAACACAAGCTGAATGGGATTAGCAGGCAGCAAGATATTACGTGATTAGACAGAAAAATAATTAGTAAACTTGAAGACAGCAATGAAAACTATTCAAAATGAAACAGAGAAAAAACAATGAAAAAAGTAAACAAATCGTCAGTGATCTGTAAACTACCACAAGGGGCTGAATTTATGTGCAATCAGAATTGTGAATAGAATAGAAGAGACAGGGATTCAGAAAAAAATATCTGAAGAGATAATGAGCAATTTTTTCCCAAAGCTGATGAAATATATATCCCCACACAACCAAAAGCAAAATGAACCCAAACCAAAGTTATTACAAGAAAACTATAAACCAGTATCACTCATTAACATAGATGTAAAAATTCTTTACCAAATATTAGCAAACTGAAGCCAACAATATATAAAAAGGATAATACATTATGACCAAGTGGAATTTATCCCAGGAATGCTGCTTTATCAGTCAAAAATCAACAAATCACTAAATTAGCTAACTAAATTTTTTAAATTATAGGATCATCTCAATAGATGCAGAAAAGCATTTGACAAAGTACACCTATTCCTACTAAAGTTCTCAGCACACTAGGTGACATGGTTTTGCTGTGTCCCCACCCAAATCTCATCTTGAATTGTAGCTCCCATAATACCCATGTGTCGTGGGAGGGACCCAGTGGGATGTAACTGAATCATGGGAGCAGGTTTTTCCCATGCTGTTCTTGTGACAGTGAGTAAGTCTCATGAGATTTGACGGTTTTATAAAGGGCAGTTCCTCTGCACACGCTCTCTTGCCTGCCACCATGTAATGTAAGATGTGCCTTTGCTCCTCTTCGCCTTTTGCCATGATTGTGAGGCTTCCCCAGCCAAGTCGAACTGTGAGTTCATTAAACCTCTTTTTTTTTTT